GTAGTGAAACCTAAAATATGAAAAAACGCGGTGGTGAAATGATTGTGTGTACTGATTCTGACGGGAGCTCTGATCTCTCTCTTCCTCTCAGTTCGTTCAGTGATTCACGTCGGAGCTCTCGTTCAGTTCGTTCAGTGATTCACGTCGGAGCTCTCGTTCAGTTCGTTCAGTTCGTTTAGTATTCACGTCGGAGCTCTCGTTCAGTTCGTTCAGTGATTCACGTCGGAGCTCTCGTTCAGTTCGTTCAGTTCGTTTAGTGATTCACGTCGCGAGCTCTCGTTCAGTTCGTTCAGTTCGTTAGTGATTCACGTCGGCGCTCTCGTTCAGTTCGTTCAGATTCACGTCGGAGCTCTCGTTCAGTTCGTTCAGTGATTCACGTCGGAGCTCTCGTTCAGTTCGTTCAGTTCGTTTAGTGATTCACGTCGGAGCTCTCGTTCAGTTCGTTCAGTGATTCACGTCGAGCTCTCGTTCAGTTCGTTCAGTGATTCACGTCGGAGCTCTCGTTCAGTTCGTTCAGTTCGTTTAGTGATTCACGTCGGAGCTCTCGTTCAGTTCGTTCAGTTCGTTCAGTGATTCACGTCGGAGCGCTCGTTCAGTTTGTTCAGTGATTCACGTCGGAGCTCTCGTTCAGTTCGTCCAGTTCGTTCAGTGATTCACGTCGGCGCTCTCGTTCAGTTCGTTCAGTTCGTTTAGTGATTCACGTCGGCGCTCTCGTTCAGTTCGTTCAGTGATTCACGTCGGAGCTCTCGTTCAGTTCGTTCAGTGATTCACGTCGGAGCTCTCGTTCAGTTCGTTCAGTGATTCACGTCGGCGCTCTCGTTCAGTTCGTTCAGTTCGTTTAGTGATTCACGTCGGCGCTCTCGTTCAGTTCGTTCAGTGATTTACGTCGGAGCTCTCGTTCAGTTCGTTCAGTGATTCACGTCGGAGCTCTCGTTCAGTTCGTTCAGTTCGTTCAGTGATTCACGTCGGAGCTCTCGTTCAGTTCGTTCAGTGATTCACGTCGGAGCTCTCGTTCAGTTCGTTCAGTTCGTTTAGTGATTCACGTCGGAGCTCTCGTTCAGTTCGTTCAGTGATTCACGTCGGAGCTCTCGTTCAGTTCGTTCAGTGATTCACGTCGGAGCTCTCGTTCAGTTCGTTCAGTTCGTTTAGTGATTCACGTCGGAGCTCTCGTTCAGTTCGTTCAGTTCGTTCAGTGATTCACGTCGGAGCTCTCGTTCAGTTCGTTCAGTGATTCACGTCGGAGCTCTCGTTCAGTTTGTTCAGTGATTCACGTCGGAGCTCTCGTTCAGTTCGTTCAGTTCGTTCAGTGATTCACGTCGGCGCTCTCGTTCAGTTCGTTCAGTGATTCACGTCGGAGCTCTCGTTCAGTTTGTTCAGTGATTCACGTCGGCGCTCTCGTTCAGTTCGTTCAGTTCGTTTAGTGATTCACGTCGGCGCTCTCCTTCAGTTCGTTCAGTGATTCACGTCGGAGCTCTCGTTCAGTTTGTTCAGTGATTCACGTCGGAGCTCTCGTTCAGTTCGTTCAGTTCGTTCAGTGATTCACGTCGGCGCTCTCGTTCAGTTCGTTCAGTGATTCACGTCGGAGCTCTCGTTCAGTTCGTTCAGTTCGTTCAGTGATTCACGTCGGCGCTCTCGTTCAGTTCGTTCAGTGATTCACGTCGGAGCTCTCGTTCAGTTTGTTCAGTGATTCACGTCGGCGCTCTCGTTCAGTTCGTTCAGTTCGTTTAGTGATTCACGTCGGCGCTCTCCTTCAGTTCGTTCAGTGATTCACGTCGGAGCGTGATTCACGTCGGAGCGTGATTCACGTCGGAGCGTGATTCACGTCGGAGCGTGATTCACGTCGGCGCTCTCGTTCAGTTCGTTCACTGAACGTACTGTGAACGGGAGCTTTGAGACACGAGACGGAAGAGAGGAGAGGGCAACTGAAGTTGAGAAATGAACGACTCTTTTTAGTAAGTGATTCAGTTCAGTTCGTTCACCCAGATGATTTGTTCGTTTTGAACGAATCGTTCATGACCGACACATCACTAGTGTCACTCGGCTGTAAGTCACCAAAGTTAAAACATGTTGTATGTCACTGTAGACAGGTTCACATGGTCTTAAAAGATCCCACTCGTGACCTGAACCTATCTTTTTCCTTTCGTGTGGAAGGCTTTAATTATATGGTGTTTGTCTCATCGGACACTATGAAGTGTTTTGGCTGCGGAGGGGAGGGACACCTGATCCGTTCTTGCCCGGAGAAGAACGGCGGGCAGAAGCTACTGCCAGCCCCTCCCTAGCCTCCGGCGGGGAACCGTCACGGCCTGCCCGGTCCGAGGCTGCTGCCGGCGGGGTGCCTCCGCAGGCTGCCCGGTCCGAGGCTGCTGCCGGCGGGGTGCCTCCGCAGGCTGCCCGGTCCGAGGCTGCTGCCGGCGGGGTGCCTCCGCAGGCTGCCCGGTCCGAAGCTGCTGCTGGCGGGGCTCTGCCGGCTGCAGGTCGCGCTCCGGTGTCTGAATTACCGGAGACTCCAGTGATTGATACATGTAGTGCTCAGACAGTGATTGATACATGTCGTGCTCAGACAGTGATTGATACATGTAGTGCTCAGACAGTGATTGATACATGTAGTGCTCAGACAGTGATTGATACATGTAGTGCTCAGACAGTGATTGATACATGTCGTGCTCAGACAGTGATTGATACATGTAGTGCTCAGACAGTGATTGATACATGTCGTGCTCAGACAGTGATTGATACATGTAGTGTTCAGACAGTGATTGATACATGTAGTGTTCAGACAGTGATTGATACATGTCGTGCTCAGACAGTGATTGATACATGTAGTGTTCAGACAGTGATTGATACATGTAGTGTTCAGACAGTGATTGATACATGTAGTGTTCAGACAGTGATTGATACATGTCGTGCTCAGACAGTGATTGATACATGTCGTGCTCAGACAGTGATTGAGAGTGAGACTGCAGAAGCAGCAAATGATCAAAATAAAGCGGCTGAAAACGAGAATGAAAATTGTGAAGAAACGATGAGAGCAGATGAGTCTGTGTGTGAGATTTTAGATGAAGACATGCTGAGCGATGATGATGATGATGATGATGATGACTTCAAAATACCACATAAAAGAAAAAACAAAAGCTCTAGCGATTCAAATTCTAAATGTAAAAACCTGAGAGGAGTTAAAAGCAGCCAGGAGGGGGACAGTGATGTCCTCCTCTCACAGGAGGAGGCTCGTTTTTGTTCTCCTCCTAAATAGAATTTATTACTGTAAATATTATTTATCTTATTTTTACCTCATTTTATTTGATCTTATTTGATCTTATTTTGGTTGTATTGCACCGCGGGACGGAGACAAACGCAATTTCGATTCCACTGTATGTCTGGCATATTTTGAAATTGACAATAAAGTTGACTTTGACTTTGATAAAAAGGTTTTTAGAGCAAACCAAAGGACAGAGACTCGTCACAGTCGAGGATCACTTCTCAGATTTCAAAATGTTTTTAAAATCCGCCTCACCAGAAAGACAGGCAACTCAGAAGACGTGTTGTCACAGACAGAAATATACAGACTGAAAAAACATATTGTCAAAGTGAGAGCCCAAATCATCTCCAATGATGATGAGTTTTAAATCTGCTCCACTTTTATTCTGACCTGTTTAGCACACTCTCTTTTTTATCCATGTTGATTTTAATCTCAGCAGTTTAACCTGAACGGAGCCAGGGCTGCTCTTTTTAAACTCATGGAGATAAAGAGGATAGATGTTTTGTTTTACAGGAGACCCACAGCACAGCAGATAATGAATGTGAATGGAGGCAGGCTTTTTAATGGGGAGGTCGTTTTAAGTCACAAGTCCAGGATTTTATTTTCAGGAGTTTTTTACCAGTTTCTTTTGACTTAGAGGAGATCATCCCAGGTGTTAATGAAAGTTAAAGCAACTTTTGAAAAGTGAAGCTTGTGTTTTTAAATGTCTATGCACCAACCAACGGTTGGACAGGATGCATTTTTAAACATTTTAAATGATACTGTTAAAGACTGTAATGATGATAATTTGATGTTTTTAGGAGGTGATTTGAACTGTACTGAAACACTTCCAACAGGTGTTGGACTCTTTCTGCTCTGGTTGGACTACACCTGACACACAGGACCCCTTCCCCTCCATCCAGCTCACTGTAGACCTGAACAACAGTGCAGGTATCCTTCTGGACCACTGTCCTCAGGCCTCTCTGCAGGACGCCTCAGGAAAGTCTTTTTATCGTTTGATGGTCATTACACTGAACAGAAACAAACTGAGCGGATGAACTGACACCCCATGGAGGACTCACCTGGGCCTAGGAGGGTCCGGGCCGGCCTGGAGGTCTCGCTACAAACCTCCACTGACAAAAAGACACGGAGACTTACAGTGGAGGATCCTCCGTGGGGCAGTGGCAGTGAACTCTTTTATCTGTGATGTGTCTCCCTCTCTCTCTCTCTCTCTAGTTTATTGCTTCTTATATTTGGATCATGTGGATATTTACCTGGAGGGCGTTCATATTCCCGGACCACCCACTCGCACTGTCATCATTAATATTTGACTTTGATGAATTGTAAACAACAGAACACACGTCACACAGGTGAGACTTTATTACACATTTATTTTTATACAGTTTTTACCTGTGACCCCTCCCACCACCAGCCAATCACGAGACAGCATGTTATTAATATGATCATGTGATACAGACTGTGTGTGTGTGTGTGTGTGTGTGTGTGTGTGTGTGAAACAGGTTAAACAGCAGGAACCAGCAGCTCTTCACACTCTGATGACATCATCAGCTCCAGCCAATCAGCTGCATTCATTGCCTTTGATGAGGAAGAAGGTTCCAGCAGCCACGCCGAGCAGGCCGACAGTCAGACCGAGTCCACAGAACACGGCAGGACCCACACCTGGACCAGTGTGCTTCACCTCTGGAGACAAAAGACACAGTGAATACACACCTACAGACACACACCTACAGACACACAGCTACAGACACACAGCTACAGACACACAGCTACAGACACACAGCTACAGACACACACCTGGACCAGTGTGCTTCACCTCTGGAGACAAAAGACACAGTGAATACACACCTACAGACACACAGCTACAGACACACACCTGGACCAGTGTGCTTCACCTCTGGAGACAAAAGACACAGTGAATACACACCTACAGACACACAGCTACAGACACACAGCTACAGACACACACCTACAGACACACAGCTACAGACACACAGCTACAGACACACACCTGGACCAGTGTGCTTCACCTCTGGAGACAAAAGACACAGTGAATACACACCTACAGACACACAGCTACAGACACACAGCTACAGACACACAGCTACAGACACACACCTGGACCAGTGTGCTTCACCTCTGGAGACAAAAGACACAGTGAATACACACCTACAGACACACACTACAGACACACAGCTACAGACACACACCTACAGACACACAGCTACAGACACACACCTACAGACACACACCTGGACCAGTGTGCTTCACCTCTGGAGACAAAAGACACAGTGAATACACACCTACAGACACACAGCTACAGACACACACCTACAGACACACACCTGGACCAGTGTGCTTCACCTCTGGAGACAAAAGACACAGTGAATACACACCTACAAACACACACCTACAGACACACACCTACAGACACACGGCAGGACCCACACCTGGACCAGTGTGCTTCACCTCTGGAGACAAAAGACACAGTGAATACACCTACAGACACACAGCTACAGACACACAGCTACAGACACACACCTACAGACACACACCTACAGACACACCTGACCAGTGTGCTTCACCTCTGGAGACAAAAGACACAGTGAATACACACCTACAGACACACAGCTACAGACACACAGCTACAGACACACACCTACAGACACACACCTACAGACACACACCTGGACCAGTGTGCTTCACCTCTGGAGACAAAAGACACAGTGAATACACACCTACAGACACACACCTACAGACACACACCTACAGACACACACTACAGACACACAGCTACAGACACACACCTGGACCAGTGTGCTTCACCTCTGGAGACAAAAGACACAGTGAATACACAACTACAGACACACAGCTACAGACACACACCTACAGACACACAGCTACAGACACACACCTACAGACACACACCTACAGACACACACACCTACAAACACACCTACAGACACACACCTACAGACACACAGCTACAGACACACACACCTACAAACACACACCTACAGACACACACCTACAGACACACACACCTACAAACACACACCTACAGACACACACCTACAGACACACACCTGGACCAGTGTGCTTCACCTCTGGAGACAAAAGACACAGTGAATACACACCTACAGACACACACCTACAGACACACACCTACACACACACCTACAGACACACACCTACAGACACACACCTGGACCAGTGCTTCACCTCTGAGACAAAAGACACAGTGAATACACACCTACAGACACACAGCTACAGACACA